CCTCTCCACACTGTCCTGTGGGCACCAGACGGGCCGACCTTCCCCAAAGCCGTGGCTCAGCCAGGGAGTGGGGGCCATGTCATGCTGTCCCAGTACCTCAGTTTCCCCATCTAGTGAGGGTGAGCCATGAGGGGCTCATGTGAACCGGGTGCTGCAGAAAGGGAGTCCGCCCTGTCCCCAGGACAGAGACAGCACCAAGGTGCCGCTGGTGGTCCATTCAGCAAGGAGTGGCTTGTACATGCCAGGCCGTGTGCAAGAGCTCTGCTGCCCGGCCAACACAGCACCACCTTCTTGGGACAGATGCTGGACAGGACTTATAGCTCACAGCTCTGACCCCCAGCTGCCCAGAACCTGGCATGTGACCGGTGGACAGCAGCCAGCTACGCAGTCTTTCCCACTTCGCGGGCCGAGTCCCCCTGGGGTCTCTCACCCTTTACCAGTGCCATCCCCAGAGCTTTGGCCATGATGGCAGCCCCCGGGACAGGCTCCAGAGGAGTGAGGCGGGGTGACCAGAGTCTGAAAGAGACGTGGAGGGGGTCCCCCACAGCCCTAAGACCCTGACCTCACGTAGGGGTGTCAGTGAACCCCCATGATGGGGAGGCGGGCAGGCGCTGGCCGCTTTACCGAGGACTCCCTGTCCCCCAGGTGAGGCCAGAGTGGCACCCAGTGGCTGGCCGAGGGACTGCAGACTCGGGCCACTGCCACCACCCGCTATGTCCACCTGTGCTGGGCCTCCAGGTGGGGTCTCAGAGCAAGGGTGGAGGTGCTGAGGCCAGAGTTGTGGACTGGGGAGCCTGAGGCAGGGGTGTGGCTGGCCCCTGAGCACACTGGGTGGAACTCCGTGCAGTTGTGGGCCGGCTTCAGAGACTGCCGGTGACTGCTCTCCCCCTCGGCAGACGGCGCCCCGCTCAGCGAGCTCTCCTGGTCGTCTTCCCTGGCCGTGGTGGCGGTGTCCTTCTCAGGTCTCTTCACTGTCATCGCCCTCATGCTGGCCTGCCTGTGCTGCAAGAAGGGTGGCATCGGGTTCAAGGTGAGGCCGGGGGCCCCAGGGGTCAGAGCTTTCCTCCCTCCTGGGCCCCCGGGGACCATGTAGATCTGGGCTGGGATCCCACAGCCCCTCCTCCGGGGCTGCCAACAGGAGAGGCCAGAGCACTCGGAGACCCCGGCCCACTACCTCCCCTGTTTTGGGTCCCCTCTGTGGGGTCATGGCCTGTCACATCCCTGCTCAGAGTCAGGCCTCTGTGGGCTGTGCACAGATGGGGCGTCAGAACAGTGAGGATGGGGCTTGCAGGGGGCCACTGGGGCTCCTGAACTGGCGTGGGAGGGGCCTGGCCTGCCCACAGCCCTGGGAGCCTAAGCAGCAGGGCCATGCACTCCCCTGCCCTGGGGAGGCCGTCTCCCTGACCTGCAGGCACTCGGGGCAAGGCAACACTGGCATTTCCTGGAGGACCCTGGGGCCAGAGCTGCGAGGTTTTGGGGCGCAGGGGTAGGGGCCCGAGGGTGGGACTTGTGGGCCCTTGTTTAAGTCAGCCCCTCTGTGTTCAGAGGTGGTGGGCGGGGGAGATGCTTCCTGGCACCAAAACCACCTCACCAGCTGGTACCACCTGGCGTTGGGCCCCGAGGAGGAAAGGAGTTTGTGTGGCACCAGCCATCAGGGCCACTGCGGACAGTGGTAGCAATCATTGCCACAGATGGCGCTTCAGTGGACCACCCACCCTCCCTAAAGTCGCCGGGAACAGGGCGAAGTTCCCGGCAGTTATCCTGGGCTGCATTCTAGGACTGAGTCCCTTCCTAAGGACAGCGGTGGAGGGGCGCCCGCTGGGGTGCTATTCCCTCATCTTACAAGCCCCCACATCCAGCAGCAGATCTGTGGACTGTGGATCTGAAAAGCTGGGAGCTGAAAACCCCAACCAGAGGCCCAGCCAGCCCGCGTGGGCTGAGTTCCTGCTGACTTGCAAATAGCAGCTGGCTGATGGTCAGTCCCCGCCCACAGACCAGCCCTTGGGCTGGAGGTCAGATTCCTGGGCCTGGCGAGGTCCAGAGTGGGTGGAGGGGAAGGTCTGGGGGCAGCACAGCACCCCAGTTGGTCTCATGCTAAGTGGCCTGTACCCTAGCCATTTTAGAGGAATATCACCCTCCTATGTCACCTCACAGAGAGGGCCCCGGGGAGCTGACACCGACCTAGTGAGGACCATGGACATGGCACCTGCCTCTTATAAAGCCCACACTGGACAGCTCAGCCATTCTCCCAGAATCCTCTGAGGGGGGCTGCCCCCCCCCCCGGTCAGCTGGGGAAGTTGGGAGCCTAAGCAGCAGGGCCATGCACTCACACACTGCCCTGGGGAGGCCGTCTCCCTGACCTGCAGGCACTCGGGGCGGGCAAGGCAACACTGGCATTTCCTGGAGGACCCTGGGGCCAGAGCTGCAAGGTTTTGGGGGGCAGGGGTGGGGGCGGGGGCCCAGGGG